TAAACAAGAAAAAGAGCAACATTTAACCATTCATCCTTTCATTTATCATCAAATAACATCAACACACAAGCATACAAATAAATAAATTCACTACCTTATGTTTTTAAACTTTCTCTTTGCTTCCTCTTGCTCCCTTTGCTTCTAACCGTCAAGGTTCCTTGATCAGCCTTCCCATTCTCTTCCTTAATGTCTTATGTCCCCAAATCTATTGAGACATCATTGCCATTTATTCATTTGAGCCAAACTAACAAACAACATTCTGAGTTTACTCTCTTTAACGTATTTTAACCCTTTAACCTTATTTTTTTAAGCTTTAATTTTAATCTTTCTAAAATTAATTCCACATGCCAATCCCCCATAATTTTTCAAGTAAAATATATTTTTAAACTCAAATTAAACAAAATCCAATTCCTTCCCCATGAACAAGCCTTTGCCGAAACATATAAGGTTTTAAGGCAAAAATTATATTTTCAATTTAAATGCATCCAAACTCACTTTCTTACATTTACCCTTACACAATTTTTTAATTCTAAACACATTGGAAGTATCAAAATTATCAAATTTCAATGCGAACATCATCCCTAAGTCTAGCAAAAATCTCATTATCCATACAAGATAGATGTAAATGTATGACATGCTTAGTTACATATACTTTCATGTTTATAAAATATCATGCTCATATGCTCAACATTTCAAACACACATGGCATTGGATTAAACAAAAAATAGAGCAATATTTACCCATTCATCCTTTCATTTATCATCAAACAATATCAACACACAAGCATACAAATAGGTAAGTTCACTACCTTATGTCTTTAAACTTTCTCTTTGCTCTTTAAGTTCACTACCTTATGTCTTTAAACTTTCTCTTTGCTTCTTTTGCTTCTAACCATTAAGGTTGCTTGATCGACTTTTCTATTTTTCTTCCTTAATATCTCATGCCTCCAAATACATCAACACATTATTAACATTTATTCATTTAAGGCATAGTAACAAACAATATTTTTACTTTACTCTCTTTAACTTACTTTAACTCTTTAACCTTGACTTTTGAACTTTAATTTCAATCTTTCTAAAATCAATTCCACATGCCAATCTCCTATAATTTTGCATTTTAGAATATATTTCTAAACTCAAATTAAACAAAATCTAACTCTTTTTTTATGAACAAGCTTTGGCTAAAACATTTAGGGTTTTTGGGCAAAAATTTCGTTCTTAATTTTAATGATTCCAAACTTGCTTTCTCACATTTGTTCTATACAATTTTTCATTTTAAACACATTAAAAGCATCAAAATCATCAAATTTCAATCCTAATATCATCCCTAAGTCTTGTCAAAATCCTCATGAAATTAGGGGAAGTTGTATTCTTTCTAATTTTATCACAAAACTACTTGATTCTTGCTCTTTTCTTCCTCTTAATCATTAATCTAGCATCAATCAATCCTTTGTATGGTTTAGACACAATTAGACAACATATCATCTTAGGGTTTAACACTTCTAAAAATGAACAAATATCATAACCAAACTTTGCGAGACACGGGTCATCATAAACTACATTAAGAAACCATGATCTTATCTTGTCTTGAAACTTATATTTGCTTGGGATTTTATGCCCTTCTTCTTCTTTCTTTTTCTCTCCAAAATTTTGTACTCTCCTTGATCTTCATCTCTTGGTTATCCAAACACAAATGGAAGAGAGAAATGAGTATTTATAATGCAAAAGTTACCATTTACCTTGGTTAATTTAATTTAACTTTGCCATAACACGTCATTTGCTTCAACCATCCTCCATAAGATCTTGTCATGTAACTCCCTTAGGTGTCTTGATCATATTTTTCCTCAAGATCATGCCACATGCATACCACCTAATCACACATGTAGTAAAATATAATATTTTATTAAATAATTATATTTCTTCCAAACATACCCCTTAACAATTTGTACAATTTTATCGATATCCTCTCATCAAATTTACATTAAAATATGAAGGCAAATAGGGATAAATTCATGCTTCCTCTCACCCTTGACTATTCCTTTATTTATTTTACAATTTTACACTGTATCAGGTAATCCTGAGACATGTTTTGTCTAACTACTTCATTTCTTACTAAATAACCAACCAAATAGAAGCAAATAGAATCACATTTGATGGCCAAAAGTTTGAAAACTTTAACTTTAAAAAATATTGTTCTCAGGTTACTATTCATAGTAATATATAATTTGGCCAAATTTTAAAAAATTCATAATAATTCTAGAAAAATAAAAATTGAGTGATTCCAAGTTCTATTGAAAGCTCTTTGGATTATCTTTTGAGAAAAAATAAGCACAGGTCAATTTGCTTTCAGATTCGAGCCCAGTTTAATTTATGAAAGTTACTGTTTATTTGGTCATTTTCTAATTTTTCATTATTCTTTTCTTAATTTTGAAATGACATAACTTCTTGTACAAATATCCGTTTAAAGCGTACTACCACTCATTTTAAAGTGAAAAATAAAATATCTTAGATTGTAAAGTTTCATGGATAAACTTCATCATTTGACCAAAATCATGTTGATCAAAATTTGTCCCCAAAAAAGTTGACTTTTATCCCTTTTTGGGTTTTGCCTCTTCATAGTTAAACTCTAACTTAGCATACCATCATTCTCCCACATAATTAGGCATAATAACATAATTTGTCATATATTTGCATCACAGTATAGTAAAGTATCATTCAAAAGAATATTTACAATCATTCACATATTTCAAGAAAGGATCAAAGCTCTATAACATTTAATAACATCAAATATTTCTTCAAGAATTGATCCTCCCCTTGCCTTTTGTTTTGGATGTTGTAGCCCCTAGGTAATTGTTGGAATATGGGAGGATAAGATTCATGAGAATCTTAACAGTATAGCATTACATTTAAAATGTCACACAAATAAGGTTTCACATGCCATATGTTTCTAGCTATCACATACTTTAATTTTGATGCACATGCTATGGAAAAGAATAACATACTGTCTCATTCAACATATTCAACATTATATAAGTTAAGGCATTTTATGCATAGAGTTAAACATAACATCACATAATAATCTTATCTACATCATGGCATAACAAATAGCATACACATAGTAATAAACAAAATGCAAGGTGACATTAAAAATAAATGCTAACTACCTTTTTTAATGCTTATCCTCTTGCCTTCAATCTCCTCCTTTAGCAAATCTCATTTTCTTTTGATGCCAAACCTACTGGTAACACAATAGGACATCACACATTATTATTCCATTCATCATAATAACCCTTAATCCATTTTTACTTAATTTTTGAGTTATTATTTCTAACTTTGATTCTTTAATTCCCTTGGGTCATTTCTACATAATTTTCTATATAGAATCTGAATATCAATTTAGATTTCCTCCCTATTGAACTTCATTTCCCTACACCATTTCATTATTTAAACATATCGAAAGCATCAAGTTGAATTAGATCCAACTCTAATGCCACTTTCTTATCTTGGCCGGAACAATACACGGGTTTAGAGTTGGATTTTCTTTCTAAAATTCAATCATAACCAATCAATTTCTACACTTTTCAAGGTTTAGTCTACGTTTCAATCCCTTGACTAGTTTCTCCCATTTTTTCAAAAATTTTACCAACATTTTCACCTAGGAAAATGGCCATCCAAACCATATAAAAATGCCATGAAAACAACCCCACATCAAGCACAAGAGATATAGAAGCTTACCTTGACAAGTCTCTAAGCTTGTAGGCATTTTCTCTCTCTAGAAGTTGTCTTTTCTCTCTTTAAAATCAACAGCAATAAAGCCTCCCTATGGTTTCCTCTCTTGGTCGAAATTCATAATGTGGGAGGGGTATTTATAGCAATTCACTTAACTCTTTACACTTGACCCTCAATTCTATTTTACATGATTTTCTTTAAATTTTTGAAAATTTCTAACCTAGCTTTGCAGCCAGATCTTGTTTTAACTGATATTTCAAACATATCAATCTGGACTCCGCCCGGGTTTTAGTTCAAAAATTGTGAGATCTATGTCCCCCTTGAACTAATTGGCCCTTAGTCTCTTTTAATTCCCTCATCTTCAAGGTTAAAATTTGCAAGTTGTTACATTTTGGCACTCTTTTTTTATCACAAATATATAACATGCGTATGGAGAGACGGATGCTCTTCCCTTTGTTATTTTATTAAAATATTTAGTAATATTTATTTTAGTATAAACTTGACCAAATTCTTCCTATTAGTCCATAACTTTAAGAATCTATCTCTGGATACCCATACTGCCTTTTTATCATGGGAAATTTCTCTTATTTTTCTCAGGTCAAAAATTAACTCAAACGATTTATTTTGACTTTCCCCTGATACTCAAATAGATTTTAAATTCTGTTAAAGACAACCTCTTTGCTTTCTGGGGACAAAATCATTTTTAAATCCTGTGATAATATCTCAAGTATTTATTCTTGTTAGAAGCCGTGATCCTCTCCCCCAACTTCTCCCTTGATTTACTCTATTAATTACCTAGAATAAGTTCCTGATTTCTTGTGATATTGCATTATTACTGATTGATTGTAATCTCTTTGCATTATTATTATTGATTGTAACCGGATTGCATATTCCCATCCAGACTCTATAAATTGTACCGGGATCATATGAAATAAGATATGAGTGAGTCTGAACCCAGAAAAGCTCCGTAAACGTCTGCTGTGAGCCAGAGAGAGAGAGAGACAGCGCGGGGAGAGAGAGAGAGAGTGAGGCGTCCTCAACCTGGTGCAAGAAGAGCTGCGTGGACGACACCACCCCTCCAATCCACACCGGCGTCCCTTGATCGGCCAGTCCCCAGAAGCCGACGTCGAACGGAGCTGCGCGTGACTCTCACGCGCCGTCACAAGCTCTGCGTGTGAAGTCCACGCGCCGCCACGCCCCTGTCACTGTTCCAGCGCGTGAAGCCCACGCGCCGCCGCCAGAGACCTCCAGTGCCTTCCAGAGACCCAGAAAATGGATGACCCAGAATTTCCCCCACTGTTTGGATCTGTTCGCAATATTCCAAGGGCCTTCATGTCCGGTACATCTTCTAATACTCAAGCTACTCCTTCTAAAAACTCCACTGCAGAATCAGACTTGACAATAGCCACTGAACCTCAAGCTATGGGGGTAGCTCACAAACTTAATGGTAGCAACTATCTCCAATGGTCTCAAAGTGTGTTAATGTACCTGCGTGGGAAGCGTAAGGAGAAGTATATCAATGGAGAAGCACAACAACCTTCACATAATGACCCCAAATTTGACACCTGGTTCGCTGAAAATAATCAGGTGATGTCTTGGTTGTGCAATTCAATGACCCTCGAAATCAGTGAAGGATACCTTCTTGCAAGCACAGCCAAGGAAATCTGGGATGCTGCTAAGTGGACCTACTCTACCCTCGACAACACTGCAGCCTTATTAGATCTCAAGAGGCAACTCAAAGATCTGAAGCAAGGCAACTTAACTGTAACACAATACTACAGTACTCTGACAAAGATATGGCAGCAATTGGATCTCTTTGAAGTACATCTTTGGAAGGATATAGATGATGCTAATTACTACAGACAGTTGGTGGAAAAGGGACGAACATATGAATTTTTGTTGGGCTTGAATGATGTGTTTGAAGAAGTAAGGGGGAGAATTATGGGATTGAAACCCCTGCCATCCCTATTTTAAGTCTTCAGTATGGTTAAGTTCGAAGAAAGCCGAAGACACCTCACCCAAGGTAATCTGACCCCAGCAGAAGGCTCGGCATTGGTGACGAGAGGGTTCCAGACCTCAGAGGGGCCTGAGAAGAGAGGGAACAAGTGGTGCAATCATTGTAACAAGAGAGGCCACACCAGAGATGAATGTTGGAAACTACATGGAAAACCAACCCAAGGGAAGCAGAAACGAGAAGATAGAAAGAGCCACCACACCTCATCTGAAGAAAGAGGTGACGATGGAGACCAGTTGACCAGAGAAGAGCTTCAAATGCTTCGTAAGATACTTGAAAAACAAAACAAGTCAAAATCTGTTCCCAATGTGAACTTGATACAGTCAAGTAACTCCATTATAGCCCTTAATGCAATGGTAACTAGTGATGAGACTTGGATTATTGACTCCGGTGCTACCGATCACATGACTGGTAATAAGTCCTTCTTCAAATCCCTCAAATATTGCCATGAGAACCTCAGGGTAAAAGTAACAACTGGACTATATACGAAAGTTGAGGGTGTTGGCATTGTGGCTCTATCTGACGATCTGGAAATCCATAATGTTTTGTTTGTCCCTGCTCTTACTTGCAATCTTATTTCTGTGAGCAAATTAACTAAAGGGCACGTATGTCGGGTGATCTTTGATGATGTTAAATGTGTTTTTCAGGATTCGACCTCGGGGAGGAAGATTTTGACTGCTAAAGAATGGGATGGACTCTACTACTTTGAAGGAAAGGATATGAAGATAGCAGGAGCAAAGAAAGCTATGGTTAGCTCCAATTCTCAGAATAAAAATGTAATGTTGTGGCATCTAAGATTAGGCCACCCCAGCTTTGATTATATGAAGCATGTGTTTCCAACTTTATTCAATAAAAATTCTTCTCCTTTCCAATGCGAAACGTGCCAAATTGCAAAACAAACTCGCGCCTCCTATCCCAAACATACTTACAAACCTACTGCCCCGTTCACAATGATCCATAACGACATTTGGGGACCTGCCAAAACCAACACCCGAACAGGCACAAGGTGGTTTATCACATTCATAGACGATCACACCCGGGTCACATGGGTTTACCTTATGAAAGAGAAATCCGAAGCCTTACAAATTTTCAAAAACTTTTGCTCGTTTGTGAGAACCCAATTCCAAACTCCCATCAAAGTTTTGAGAAGTGACAATGCCAAAGAATACGTGAGTGGAGCCTTTAGGGAATTTCTTGAGCAGGAAGGAATCCATCACCAAACCTCATGTGTCTATACCCCCCAACAAAATGGAATTGCTGAGCGAAAGAATAGACATCTTTTGGAAGTAACTCGAGCTATTATGATGGAAAGAAACGTTCCGAATATGTTTTGGGGAGATGCTGTATTGACCGCAGCTTACCTTATCAATCGCATGGCCTCCAAAATCCTCCATTTCAGTACCCCCATTCAGAAATTCCTCGAGACTTACCCCACCTCACCTATCATCAATTCCATTCCCCAAAAGATCTTTGGGTGTGTTGTCTTTGTTCATAAACATGATGGCGGCAAACTAGGTGCTAGAGCAGAAAAATGTATTTTCCTCGGGTATTCCTCCACCCAAAAAGGGTATAAGTGTTATAGTCCTACTACCAGAAAACTCATCATCTCCAAAGATACCGTCTTTTACGAGGATGACGCTTACTACCCCAAATTACCCATTCAGGGGGAGCACTATGGAGTAGAATGGCTAATTACACCTGAACCGATAACCACCTCCAACCTACCTCTTAACCCTCTTGAATCTTCCACACCTCAAGAAGAAATCCCTGAACTAAAATCACAAACCCCTAGTCCTACACCTTCCCCAAAACACCAAAACACCACAAACACTCCTCACCCAATGGAAACCAATGCTGAAATTGATGCAGGGGTGACAGAGCACTCAAGTTCTCAATCAGGTAGTAGGGTTCCTTCCATTCCAAGGCAGCAACATGATTCCAATCCGGAGTTGGATCCTGAAGAGCTGGGATGGCCTATTGCACTCAGAAAGGGGGTAAGATCATGTACTCAGCATCCTATTTAAAAATTTGTCTCCTATGGCAATTTATCTGCACGAATGCAAACCTTTGTGGTGAATAGTTCACAGGTGAAGATTCCAGAAACATTTCAACAGGCTATGACAGATCCTAATTGGAAACATGCTGCATATGAGGAGTTAAGAGCCTTGAAGGAAAACAACATGTGGGATATTACCACACTTCCTAAGGGCAAGAAAGCAGTGGGCTGTAGGTGGATCTTTACCCCTAAATTCAATCCTGATGGAAGCATCAACAAGTACAAAGGAAGATTAGTGGCTAAAGGGTACACTCAGACCTATGGGATTGATTATCAAGAAACGTTTGCTCCTGTGGCAAAATTCAACACCATCCAGGTACTCCTATCCCTTGCTGCTAACCTTGACTGGTCTCTACATCAGCTAGACGTGAAAAATGCTTTCCTAAATGGAGATTTGGAGGAGGAAGTATACATGGAAATTCCAGATGGAGTAATAGCTCCACCCAACTCAGTTTGCAAATTGAAGAAATCATTGTATGGCCTGAAACAGTCTCCACGAGCTTGGTTCGACAGGTTTGCTAAAGCAATCAAAAGGTTTGGTTACATTCAAGGACAAGCTGATCACACTCTTTTCGTCAAACACAGTGATGGAAAGGTAACGATCCTAATTGTGTATGTGGATGATATAGTCATAACTGGCAATGATGAGGTTTCTATCTCCCATCTCAAGAAAGCCCTGGCTAGGGAATTCCAAGTGAAGGACCTAGGACAAATGAAGTACTTTCTTGGAATGGAAGTTGCTAGATCCAAAAAGGGTATAAGTGTGTCTCAACGAAAGTACACACTTGACTTACTCCACGAAACAGGAATACTTGGGGCTAAGCCTAGTGAGACTCCTATGGAAGAGTCATGCAATCTGGAAGTGAAACCAAACGGGACACCAGTTAACTCAGAAAGGTACAGAAGACTTGTGGGTAAACTGATCTACTTGACTCATACAAGGCCTGACATTAGCTATGCAGTTGGAGTGGTAAGCCAATTTATGCATCAACCCCAGGAAGAACACATGGAAGCAGTATACAGAATCCTCACCTACCTCAAACTCAATCCTGGAAGAGGAATATTCTTTCGAAAGGGGAATACAAGGAACATAGAGGTCTACACTGATGCAGATCACGGGAGAGCTGTGGATAACAGGAGATCAGTCACAGGATACTGCACTTATGTTTGGGGAAACCTAGTCACTTGGCGAAGCAAGAAACAAACAGTAGTCTCAAGGAGCAGTGCTGAAGCTGAGCTAAGAGCTGTGGCCCTCGAGGTATGTGAAGGAATGTGGGTGATTAGACTCCTGAAGGAATTGAGAATTTCCTATGAAGGACCTATGAATCTCTGGTGTGATAATCAAGCAAGCATTGAAATGATCAAAAATCCTGTGTATCACGACCGAACAAAACATGTTGACATTGATCGGCACTTCATCAAAGAAAAGGTCGAAGATGGCACCATTAACTTGAACTATGTGCGTTCAACTGATCAGATTGCTGACATCATGACCAAGCCGTTGGCCAGAGTCAAGTTTGAAGGGCTTCGGAGCAAGCTAGGAATGGTTGAGATTTACTCTTCAGCTTGAGGGGGAGTGTTAGAAGCCGTGATCCTCTCCCCCATCTTCTCCCTTGATTTACTCTATTAATTACTTAGAATAAGTTCCTGATTTCTTGTGATATTGTATTATTACTGATTGATTGTAATCTCTTTGCATTATTATTATTGATTGTAACCGGATTGCATATTCCCATCCGGACTCTATAAATTGTACCGGGATCATATGAAATAAGATATATGAGTGAATTTACAAACTCCTCAAATAATAATTCTCCATTTATGTCTAATTATTTGATGCCTCCTTGTATATTAAATAGTTCAATTTTGACTAATATTCATAATTAGTCAAAACTCTAGGAATTTCATCAATTTGCTCTAGGAATATTTTTATAATTTTTAACTTCATATAGGCCTTAAAACCTTATTTCCCATTTTTTTCCGGAATTTTTTTAGAATTTTTGGGTTTACCTTCTATCACTTCCCTTTTTCGACTTGAAACTTTTTAAATTTACGATTAGGTCTGTGCTCTGGCTAGTCTTGGCCCTTCTACAAAAAGATTCAATTTCATCTGTTCTAACTTCTAAAGACCTTTTTTCGCCTATTCTGAAGGAGACATTGACGAAGGAAACATAGATAATAGGTATTTATTCGTCTCTTATTAGCAGACGAAAAATAGGTCCCTATTTTTGTCTGTTCGCTAGGTACAAACGAATATACTGCACCTATTCTTGTCTGTTCTAGCTAGAACAGATAAAAATAAGGCCCTACTTGTGTCTGTTTTGGCTGGAATAGATGAAAATAGGTCCCTATTTTTCATCTGTTATAGTAACAGACGAAAATAGGGACATATTTTTATCTGATATGGGCAACAGACGAAAATAATGCTTTTTTTTAATTAAATTAAAAAAACAAATAAATGGTAGAAACCTATAATTGTAGAAAGCAGGGTATATTTATTTATTGAGGAACTATAAAACTTGTACAATCAAAGGTTTTATGCCGTAAAAACAATTTCCCAGGCAAACTAGCTGCAATAAACTAGTCCATTCTAAAGGCCTAAAGCAAAACTCAAAGCACTCTAAAGGCCTAAAGCAAAACTCAAAGCACTATACTCATTTCTGATGCGCATGCATTATGTAGTCACATTCCTTAAACCACTCTATAATTTAGAACTAGGTCATCTGTTTTCTTCCACAGATAAATACGTACCGTAGCTAAATCATTTTCAAAGACAAGACTTGAAGCATACAAAACAATTGGCCAAATTAGCACACTACTATAATTAAAAAAAAAAAAAATGGAGATCTACCATGGGCATCGTAACCATATGACAACAAAAATCTAGGAAAAAGAGCTACTTGG